CGCCTCACGTTCCCGAGGTCTCCCCCAAGCCCTGCCCGTGGTTTAAAAATTGCTCTGTTGGCATAACTGTGCGGGATCCGCTGTCACCGCCGCTGACGCTGTCAAAAACGTCGTGGCTTCAGCAGCAGCACCAGCGAGCCCCCTCCCTCCGCCCCAGAGATCAAACCCTGATAATCCATTAGCTTCATCTTCCCCCCCCCTTACGCGAGAGTGATGAAGACTTGCTAATTAATTGACATACGAGGGAATGATCGCGGAAGGAGGAAGGAAGGAAGGGAAAAAAATACCCCGTTGCACCTGCTCCGCCGAGACTTGTCATCTGGATCTGGAGGAGAGCTGTAAATCATGTGAAGTGTTCGCGGCGGAGTCGGCTTCTGAGAGCTTGTAGGATTATGTATCCAAACGCCGAATTTATATTTCCCACTAGGAAAAGACTGAAACTCAGGTCAGATATAAACTACCTCATTTCATTTAAAACTAAACTGTAGTTTTTTTATTGTAATTCTAGAGGGGATTTTTCTTCTCTCCTGATTAAATAGAAAGTGCTGTTAGAGCATGGAGTAGTGATTTACACAGTCTAGCCTGAAATCTCTTGCAGAGTTGGAAGTGGCTGACAGTATAGGATGATGATTTAGAATTACATACATCTGATCATTTTTGTTATACACGGAAAAACTGAGAAAAACCAGGCTGTTAAATTTTACTTGCAGTTTTTAGTCTGTAGATAAAGCATCTTTTCTGAGATACTGAATGGAGAAAACTTGGACTAGGGACACCACAAATGCCACTGGAAAGGCTGACTTCCTTAAATGCAGCAACTAAAATCTGTGTGCTGTCTGCTTTGATTACTTCCAACATTTGAAAAAGAACTTTGAAAATATGATAAGCTAGTTTCATGAATTTCACTTACTGCCTCTAAGGCAATACTGTGATAGTTCTTGACATTTGCTTGTTAAATGAGCTGAACTGGGGGAGAACTACTGTTGAGTAAGATGTTTGTGACTAGGGATATTTATTCCTGTGGCAGGTATTTATTAATAAAAGAGGAAATAAGGTTTGGGGGCTGATAAGGTCAAGTTTTCATATTGCAGAAATTACGAATAATTTAATTTTATGGCATCTGTGAATTTTCATATATTTTACTAACTAGTCAAATATATCTTGCCACTAGCTGGCAAAACTATACTGAGGTTTTGTCATTTCAGATGGAACTAATTTAGACTGGGGTTAATTGCTTTAGTGGCCTAACATATTTTTGATAATTCTGTAAAAGACAAATAATAAGTTATTTCATTCCAGTTACATTTTAAAAAGTTGCTTTTGGATTAAAAGGATGTTGTATGTTATAGATGTAGGCTGTACATTGGATTTGGTCATGTCATCAGGAAGAGAGCATTGAGGAGTTTGTGTTCTTCAGCAAGTTTCTTAAGTTGTGAGCTTATTGTAAAAGTGTGTGTATGTTTGTGGCAAAAGAAGGCTATACTAATGAAATAAACTGCTAGTAAAAAACCCTAATAATAACAACCCAGAAAATATATGAGGTTAGCAAGAACATGTGAGCTAGGCTAACCAATCAATATGCTTACTTTGAAAACAAGGTGTGTATACAGTAGTTTTTGTATCACTGTTCTACAGCAACAAAATAAGGGAGCCAAAAATAAGCACAAGCTAGAAATAAAAAGACCAACATTTTAAAGGAGACTAGGGGAAGAAACACTTTTAAATTGAGTCTTACTGCCAAATTCAATACTGCATGTCATTGTTGAACTAAATCATACTCTAATATACAGAAGTTTATGTCAATTAAGGTGGAAATCTTGGTCTATAACAAACCACTTAAAAGACAGTCTGTTGTTGGGGATTTGGTTTATCACAGAAAAACTGATGGTAGGGGTCAAGTGACAGTCAATAAAGATAGACTTCACATTTTAACTTGGAACAAGAGAGCAATTTGTTTTCTTCTCTTATTCTTCTGTCTCTAACTGGAAATGCTATCACGAACAACAGTCCCTGAAGTCATCAAGGTGTTCTGTGGTGAACATTTATTGGTTTGAGATAACTCTTTAATAGAAATACTTTTTCTGTGTAACCAGCATTGTTCTGCCCAGTGCTTTGGCTAGGTACATTATATGTGGATAACATGGAAGGAAGAATTAGGGGTTTGAACAATTTCTATCATTGCTTATGTTGCAGTCCAGTGTACATTTTAAAATGAAATTTATGTGCAGCTGCCAAGGTGTTGATCAAAATACATTGGAAAAACATTTGCTTCTCTTCCAATCTAAAAAGAAAAAATCAGCCAGAAGGATGTAGGGAAATCTGCTTACAGTTACTAGACTTTATTGTGCATAAGATAACTACTTGACTGTGTTTGACATAATGGATGCGGATTTGATGATTTCAGTGAATGACAGACCCACCTTCATTTTTAACATTTGCAACAGGTTGAGGTTTTGTGTCAAAAAAAACGTAGTGCTGCATGTCTCTTGATGGACATAAATTTGAAAGGAGCTGAATGGAGTTAGACAACTGCAAATTTGCTTCATGTTCTTTTAATGCTATACAAATAGCTACGTGGTGACTGGTTCATATCTGTAGTCATATGAACATGCCCCCTCTGTTTTCTATAGCTCTTTTTGAGTTACACATTTCGTTAAGAAAACTTTTCAACAGGTTGTTCACTGATTAACATAAAAGTAGTACGTTATGAGGGGTGCAGAATGCTGTATGTCTGAACAGAAGCTTACGTGAAGTTTTTAGATAGCAACATAAATGTCGAAAGGATACTGCCAGCATTTGAGGCATATATGCAGAGAGCACAGCCACATTCCTTTTTTGGCTGTTTATATAGTAAGCAGGAGTCTATTAAACTGGCAAGGAGGACAAATATTTAATGATGACCTAGAGAGGCAATGTCATTTCAGTATGTTTGCAATGCACTTCTCTGTTTAGTTGCTGATTAAATCTTTTGATCTCAAGGACAACTTCTAGTCATCTGCTTTGATGCAATATTCTATAAACACATGTAAACTAGAGGAGCAGGGGTTTAAGTCTTAAGACTGTTTTCTCTTAAAGATAAAAAAACTTTGTGTAGTGCTCTCGTAGCCCCAGCTGAACTTCAATGGGCATAGGGGGAACAAAAAGACCAGGAAGGAGAGGAATAGAAAAGGGAGTGGTTCTTCACCATAGTAACTCAGGACTGATGAGAAGGCCTTTCTGAGTTAGGCAACCAGTTTATCTAATCCTGGTTATAAAGTTGCCATAGTCTACCTTAAAGCTAGTTGTTGCTCTTTTTGGAAAGATGTTTCAAATCCTCTCTCCTAATGCTTAGAAATTTCTTTGAACTTCCAGCCCAAATAAATTCCTCTATTCCTAATTTTTAATATCTCAATATTGTTATTTAAAAACAGCTCCTTCCTTAGATCATACCCCTTGATAAACTACAAACATTAATCATGTGCATTCCTTAGCTTTTATGTGTTAGGATCAAACAAGCAGATCAAGCACCTTTTAGTCTGTCCAGTAAAACAGAATAAATAGGAAGATATAGAGCCTATTCATTTGATTCTCCTGAATTGTGATCATACCTCACCTGCATCAAATACCTTGTAACTGAAGTGTTTCCTCAAAGTCTTGAATAATAGTGCCAATGCTCCACTTGGTCTACTGAAAATACATTATCAGATATTTGTGAAGATGAAGTTTATTTTACAGCTATACCAGGTTGGCTTATTCTTCTTGCAGTGAACTAGACAAGAGTGCATGATTCCTCTTTTCGTCTTGGTCTCAAAATTACAAGACACTATGTAATCACAGAAATGATATTATTTATAATCCTGTGGCAATTCTAATCAGATGGTGTTTTATTGAGACTGAACAAAAACACAGGATAGAGACAGAATATAGTGGGATTTTCATTATGACCTGGGGAACGCCTGAAAATTGAGTCACTGAATTAGTACTGAAAATGCACTATAGAATTGGAAAGTAGTAATTGTGACTGCATAATTTTAAATTTAATTACGTTATTCTGTTAAATAACAGACTGACCTATGTTTGTAAAGAGTTAATTTGTTAAAATATTTAAAATATACTGTAATTCTCTACATAGTACTTTAGGACAACAGTTAGTTGATGTGGCTTCACAGAAGAAAATTGTCTTGCTGTTGACAGGGCTTTGAAGCCTTTTTCTCAATTTTACTTTCAAGCTTCCTTGAGCTCAAAAGTAAAGAATCTCTCCAGCAATTATTTTATTATTATTATTATTATTTTTTCCTGGCATGTCTGTATTTTCTCTGTAGACCAGGTTCATATTTTCAATCCAGTGCTCATTTCTACTGGTTTCTGTGAAAAAAACTGACAGTTACCAGATAACCAGACAGTTATCAGCCTTTCTTTTGCCTGCAAAGTTTTGAATGGAAACTATGGAACAGACCAGAATCTTCTGCTATTGTTGCTGCAGGACTACACCTCCACCTGTATCCTCAAAAAGCCATTACCCTTTCATGCATATTTAGTTTGGTTTTTCTAATTATTAATGTAAGAATCTGTTCAGTTCAAATATTGAAGAAATTTCTACAAGGAAAAAAACACATTTATGTCCCCTTGGTTAAAACTAACAAATATAACAGGAAGTTTTTAAGCCTAGAGAAGAGAGGTTATTAAAGACATAGATATTTCCAACTGAAATGTGAAGTGGAAAAGCTACTAAAGGGAAATATGTGCTGCAATGACTTTAATAATTTCAGCTGAAATAAGAATATGGGTACATTTCCTTAATTAAGTTACTATGGTTTTGAAAAAAAACAATATTATTTAAATGTTTAATTTTTTTAAAAATTGTCTTTTGAATTAATCTTATTTTTCTTGCATTTTGACATAGCAACTGTGTTTTTAAGCCCTTCACTAGTTTTGGTTTTGCTTAATCCTCAAATTGCAACAGGATTTCCATGGAAATTTGGTGTAGTATTACTCTAACTTTACATTTAAAATTTTTAATTGTCGATAAGAAAGTGTAGTATATCATGCAAGTCATACTTTGAAAATTCAGGCTAGGATATTAGCTATCATTATCATGCTAAATAGCAATAGTATGCTTTTTTATATGTAATGGAGCTGCTTACACAAAAGATGCATACATAGCCACAGAAACACAGAACTGAAGATGATGAGGTGGACTTCTGGAGATCATTTAGTCCAATCCTCCTGCTCAAAACAGGGTCACAAAAAGCATGTTGCCGAGGGCTGTCTCCAGTTGTGTTTTGAGTATCTCCAAGGATGGATACTTTAGAGCCTTGTTACGCAGCCTGTTTCAGTGTTGGACAACTCTCACATGAAAAATATTTGGGTTTGGGTTCAAATGGAATTTCTTGAATTTCTGTTCATAACTTCTCCCTCTTGTCCTTTCACCACTGGATGTTACCAAGAAGAATTTGTCTGTCTGCT